CTAAGCGGAAAGAACTCTTGTAAAAAGTGCTGCCTCGTTTTTACTTTAAAGTACACTTGCTACACCTCTTCCCGGCGCTTTGCGCCTCGACATGATTGCGCACTGATGTGATAGAGACTAAAGTCGCAAAGCTGTTCGCGCTGGAAATAATAAGAGTAGGAAACCAATAAGCCAATTTCAATGTGCAAATAATACAGTCTCTGGTAAGCCATTTGAGCTTTGAATATGGACATTTTTCTTGATGAAGCAAATACCTAATTGCAAATATTCCTCATGCTAATTTGCCACCATCGTCAATTTGTTTAAAAAAAAGAATTTAAATAAACCGTCGTAACCGCACATAACCAAGTAGCTACAGACTCACTTCACCCCAACAACTCCTAAGACATCTCGCAAAGATTTAATTTCAATCTATTTCATCTATGCATTCAATTTCAGTGGAAATCTACCACACCCCCATGGGATGTGGCACAACTGAAGACCACACTATTTCATCTATTGAAATTAATCCCTATCTCCTGGGGTTTTAGTGAGAAAAACTAATTTCAGGGAATTCTTAGAATTGGAAATGAATATGAAACTTACATTTCTTAGAATGTTTGTAATTTGAATAGTAAATTCGCAGAAGGATGTCTTTCGGGCCACGCTAAAATTTAGGCAAATATTGATTTAACCTCGTAACTAAAGAATGTAAGGTTATTAAGTTTCGTAGCAAAACTTTACATCCATTCCATGCTCACACGTATTTGTACATATTTAAATATTTATGTCTGGTAAATACTTGTACTATGCCTTGAAGAATATGAAATGAATTATGCCCTGCTTTCATAGCAACGTGACTATTGGATTTGAAAATCATAAATGTTTATTCATTTACTATAACGACCATTCTTTCATTTAAATTCACTTAGCACAACTATTTATACAAACACTCATTATGTCTATGCTCTTAAACATACATATACAGACCTAAATTGTTCTATGTACAACTAAATAGGGTAACTCATAATTATAACCAATATAATCGACATTAACTAATAACGCTAACTAATTAACCCACATTTCCTTAATAATGCATCAGTTCAGTACCAATCATAGGCGAAGAGGATTCCACTCCTGGAAAATCTACTGATAATGCGACGGTGTGAAGTGTAACCCTCCGATTTGGTTCAAATTTTAAAATTATGTGGTCCAAGTCAATACAACAAACGATTCTTGAGGCAGTTTGTCCGATGGTACGAATTAGTCGAAATATTTTAGGTCAAAGTTGAAAAATGGGCGATATTTACCAAGAGGACGAAGCAAACCGCATTCCCGTTCCATTCAAAGGGAAAAATCCCTCATTTTTCAACTTTGACCTCAAATATTCTGACAAATTCCAACCCTCGCAAAAACTGCTTCAAGAAACGTTGGTTGTATTGACTTGGACCACATAATTTCAAAATTTCAACAAAATCGGAGGGTTACACTTTACACCATCGCATTGTGAGAAGATCTACTTAATATGGAATTTACAACTCCTTAATTTTTCGACTACGTAAAATCCCACAATTGGATAAACAAAATGCGTAGTGTTCAAAAGCAATTATCCGCCACGGTCCTGCTATTTCTAGCCGTCGCTACAATTGTAACACTGTTTCGTGTGAATATAAACTTTTCCCAGACAAACTTTAATCGGAAATTTATCTCAAGAAATGATACCGACGAGACTTTGTATGTTGTTTTTATATATTTCTGAACGTTTTATTCTCCATCTTGTTAATACATACATATGTCGACTTCTGAGTCATATTTAGTCAGCTTTTACCCAATTTTTGAGTGTAAACTACACTCTAAGAAACTGGGTATTAAAATCTACACCCTAATTACTACATAAATATGCCACTATGTACAGTGGCGAGCAAATTAAAGAATTGTACGGTAGATAACCTGCTCTATCTTGTACATTGACCACGATAAGGGCTTTCACTTTTTCAAAAATTAAGAACTTTCTTCAAAAAAATCGTAATCGACAACGGTACGAGATATCAAAATGTTCATATTGAGTAGGGCAATCGATCAAAACATATGTAAAGCTTCAAAGGAAAAAAAAATCACTCTAACTAGTAAGAGTTGAAAAATGAGCTTTTGGGTCAAAAACTGTGACCTTTCACCTTTTTGAGATTTTTCAAAAACACGAAAGGCATCCAACGACAATCTTTCTGGGCTACTACCTTGCAAATTTTCAAGCCTTTTTCTTGGTCAATGTGTGAGATGGAACAGTTTTCTACCGTGCAATTTATTTTGCTCGGCACTGGTAATAAAATAATCATGTACAGTATTAAGCTTAATCAGGGATGGTCAAAATACATTTTTCCAAAATACAAAATACAAATACACCTCATAGCCCAAAATACACTTGTATCTTCAAAATACTTTGGTAATTTTTCGTCAAAATACTTTGATTATGTTTTGCCAAAGTACAAAATACAAAATACAGTATTTAAATACTTTTTGAAACACAAAGTACTCCACGTTTTATGGATTTAGTATATCCAAACATTTAACATGTTTCTTGCCATTAGTTAATGCGATTTACTAATTTTTAAAAACAAGTTAAGCCATTACATATGTAAATTTCTTACTGACCTTCAGCGTGCACTTTAAACTGCTTGTGCGACTTGAGAACAAAGGCGGATGACAGTGAAATGTCTAAATTAGAATCTCTCAGATACTAATGTGTGTCATAAACATCTAGCCCTTCAATGTCCACATTTTAATTTTCTTCGTTATCAGAATTTTCGAACCCAAATACTCTAAAGACGTTGACGAAATTACGTCCGTTGTTGGTTACCGATTTAAACCTTTTATAAAAGTTCTCTCTTTTCTCGCAGTGTGCTCGTTCCACGTCTACTCGTTGGAAAGCAAATGCAATTAACATAATTGTATTTTCGAAATGTATTTTGTATTTTGAAGTAAAAATACATTTTCCTAAATGTAAAATACAAAATACAAAATACAATTTCCTAAAGTGGCTCAAAATACATTTATATTTTCAAAATACTTCGATTATTTAGTATTTATATAAATACAAAATACAAAATACGTATTTTGTATTTTCAAAATACAATTGTATTTAAAATACATGTATTTTGACCATCCCTGAGCTTAATGGTAATGTGAACTTAATTAAGTACTAAATTTATTTTTACCATGCAGTGCTAATCTAGTACCAGATCATTACCCACCGGGTAATGATCTGGGTAGAGTTACATACATATGTAGCTATTCCGCGTTTATTCATCTTTTAAGACTGTACATATTTAAAACTAGTGAATAAGCCGGTCTTCCGCCGGCGAGGGCTTGCTTGATTCTCGTGAAAATTAAGTGGGACTGTTCATAATTCCACCGAATTATTATTTTTTACTGTATCTGTAATATTAGCTGGAAATGACTGCTGGCACGGTAAATGAAACTTTCTCCAGTTTCACTTCCGTCACGGAAAATTACTTTCACTTCCGTTGCAGACCAACATTTACAGCTTATAATATAGATACACCACTTTGCTCACAAGAATAATCGAACATAAATCGAACTAAAATCTTCCAAACATCTCATTCTACTCATTAATTACAGATTGACACCTTGAAATTCAGGAAACTACAAGAAACTAAACTCCGTAACCGACCCGTCCCGTTACGTCCCGCTAAGCACGTCTGACCACCCCCCCAGACGTGGCATAATCCGTCCAGCCATCTTACTCAAAACCACGAACGGCCTGGGAAACCAGTTATTCCAGTACGCCTGCCATTACGCCCTCGCTCGGAAACATGACCTCCCCCTTTACATCAGAATACCCCATAATCAAACTCCCCATTTATCCGTTACCGACCGTTCCTTCGCCCTCCACACTCTCAACGTGCCCCTCTTCTCCTGGAACACTATTGACTCGTCATCCAATCTTGGAAACATTACGTATCTTTCAGATTCCGACCTTCTTTCCGGATCGTACAATGTTTCATCATCCCTTAACCTTTTCAGTCTCCGGGAAGGAGATTATTGTCAATCGGAGCATTACTTTGCCGAATATCGGTCCGAACTTAAGGAGCTATTTGGATTTAAGTCGGATCACCAATTCAGCCAGGCGGTCGAATCCTGGGAAAAATTTATTCTCGGCAAAACCGGCGAAACCGTCGCGCTTCACGTAAGACGAGGCGACTTTGTCCGGATAAATGCAACAATTCCGATGTCCTTCTATGTCTCGGCGATTTCAAATATTTTTTTAAGGACTGGAAACATTCCCATCACATTTTTCGTCTTTTCGGACGACTTGGATTTTATTCAGGACAAATTTCTTCCCAGGGTGGGGCCCATCTTGCGACATAATCAGATTTACGTTGTGTCCGATCACAAACGTTTGTCCGGTTTGGATGAGTTTTATCTTTTGACGAAGTGTAAGAATTTTATAATTCCGAACAGTTCTTTCGCCTGGTGGGCGGCGTATTTGGCCAAATATGAGGGGAAAATTGTATACGCGGCGAAATTAAGACCCGCCTTTGTGGATTGGTTATACCCCAAAGAAGAAAATGTAGAGAGACACATATTTTATAGGTGGATGTACAATCACATTTATTACCCGAGTGGGTGGATCGCCATTAATCCACGGTGGGAAGATGAATAACGACGAGCGAATAAAATTTGTGATACTATTTGCACTTTATAGGAGAGTTTAAGAGATTCGGTACCAATGTTAAAAAATTCCTTAGCAACGTAAAAAAAACTCCAGATATGTAAATTCACATCCACAAACGCCAACTTTTTTTAGCATGAGCCACCCCACCAATCCACACAGAATGGGTTTAAATACATAATTTTAGAAACATTTAAGTAATTTTACATTAAAATTTTGCAAATTTGATGAACTGTATGAAAATAAATTTGTACAAACAATTCAGGTTTAAAAGATTTACTCACGAGCAATTGAAACCAATCTTGGAAATCATTATGTAATTGTTCCAGGACCCAATTGCAGGAATATTTGTTTTTCAAATTACCTATGTATTTCTTTTTCGTCGTCAGTTATTTACTCAATAGTAATTGAGTTCATTTTATTCCACTTTTTGACATCATACTCCTGCCGGCACAATATCCAGTTGATCTTGTCAACAAAAACCATTCCCGCCTTGAGCTGCACTTGTCGCGATGCGTCGTTGTCCACCATGCACTCCGCCCTCGGAATTAGCCCGAGGTCCGCGACTTTTCTCGCGAGCGCCTTCATCACGATGATCCCCAACCCGCGGCGACGAAAGGCGTCCTCCGTGTGCAGAATTTGGAGCAGTCCGACGGGGGAGTGGACCGCATAGCTGGCGAGGGCAGGGTCGCAGTCTGGAGTCGCGTACACCCCAACGGATCCCAGGTTGCGAATCGTCGCTGATAAATTACCCTTCGAGTGAGGAAGTGTCCAAGCGTAGTTTTGCAAAATTTGGTCAATATCCGCATCAATTGGGCGAATGGAGGAAACCTTCATTGAAACTCCGTTGTTTCGGCTGTCTTGATAAGTGTATTCTGCGATTATGTAAATTATTACCACGTTGCCAGTCAAATTGTGAAGCTAAAATACTTACAATGCCGGTCCTCCGATTTTGATCAAATTCGTGTCAATCGATCCGTCACGTACATACTTAATATAAAATTGTCAAATACCTCCCTGTCCTAATAGCAAGTTTGGCAGAGATATTTGCATTTGGAGACAAGAAATAGCAGAGAAAACTTGCAAACTTAAAATGCTGGCCATTAAATGGCCAAATTGGCCATATTTCCTTCTCTCTTTACGTACACATCTCTGCCAAACTTTTGCACTTGCAGACCATGTCTTTTGAAAAGCTGACAAAACTTGCGATCGATTTACACTAATTTAATCAAAATCGGAGATTATAAATACGTTGGGAGACCTCCATTGTTTTGAAAGCAACTCACCTTTGTCATATTTCAATGCCGTGTTCACATCCAAGACATGCGCATCGCATGGATTATCTTTATACTGAATCCCTCTCTTTTCCAATATGGGTCGCAAATACGAGTCCAGAACAGCTTGCGGAATCGATCCAAAAATGTGGGTACGATCCCAGTCTATTAATTCCTCAAAGGATTGCATCATTCCTCCAAAATTGACCGGAATTAATTCTGGTGGGCGCAGTAGGATGCAGTATTCACTGTGGATCTAATTTCCAAGGAAAATATGAACTTTTTCAGACCAGTTTTTAAAAGTTTCCACAATTTTGGACATTACATTATTTTGAACGCAAACGACGAAAGGGTCGGCCCACTTATCAAAATCTTGAGGTTCGTCATCCTCGTAGAGAAATACGTCCGAAATCGTGGGTTCTTTGATGAGTTGAAGGATCTTTTGTCTCACAATGTTCAAAACCTGTGAATAAAAGTAAAGACAAAAATTATCATACGCATTGTAGGGAATGCTCTCAAACTGTGCTAAAATTCGTGACACTCGGTCGCAAACTTAGGTAATGTGAAATTTGCAACTGGCACGATTTCTGAACATGTTTGTCAAAATTGGCATTAAAAGGGGAGAAAATGTGTAAATTTAAAAATATATATTTTCCCAATTTACTATGCTTTCTGTTCTCTTCGTGTGCAAATATCTCTGAGAAATGTGCCAAAGGAAATGGAAATTTCTGAAAATTTACTTTTAATTAAATTTCTGATCGAGTGACATTAATTTCCACAAATTCGGAGAGCATACGCTGTGAGACCTTCATTGTTAGAAAAATACTGGGCCGAAATGTATCGTTGATTGGAAAATTACAATTTTTTTGACAAGTTAAACATTTTATATAATCTCATTTTTTTTATTAACCAATATTAATTTTTATTAGCAAATATATAATTTATCACCTGACTTGACTTAGGAGGGGAGCTTGCGAGGTTGATAATAACAGATATTGGTGCCCTTTGGATATGTGGTAGGGACCCATGAGTGTACTAAAACCCTGAAGTAGTTTGACTCCATGGCCACATTTGCGCCCGCCACACCCACTCAAAAATGTCCAAAAAACGCTTTCACCCCAGTTTTCACTCACTCAAATCCACGCCAAAAATCCAATTTTACTCGGATTTTGAAATTTCTTTCACCATTATACTCCCAGATAGTTGCTTTCTTCAATCCAATATCAAACTCAATTTTTTCGAAATTTTTAGTATTTTTAAAATTTAAAATTCTGAATGAGCATTGTTGTAGTCATCAACAAAACAAATTATGTTTGCGAAATAATCATCAATAAAATTGAGTTTGATATTGGATTGAAGAAAGCAACTATCTGGGAGTATAATGGTGAAAGAAATTTCAAAATCCGAGTAAAATTGGATTTTTGGCGTGGATTTGAGTGAGTGAAAACTGGGGTGAAAGCGTTTTTTGGACATTTTTGAGTGGGTGTGGCGGGCGTAAATGTGGCCATGGAGTCAAACTACTTCAGGGTTTTAGTACACTCATGGGACCCTACCACATATCCAAAGGGCACCAAGATCTGTTATTATCAACCTCGCAAGCTCCCCTCCTTAGGTAAATGCTTCATCAAAGCAGAATCCAATTTGGGTAATTCTTCATCTCCAAGTTTCCTAAATTTACCCGGTTTACGATTTGCTCCCATATTAATTCTTATTTATTTGCAACTCCAACTTATTTTTGCACGAGCCAGATGTCAACTTCGTGGACTGACTTGAAATGAAAGCAGATCGCGAAGTTGGCTTAAATTAAGTATTATGCATAATTCGTATTTCATACGTTACTTGGTAATAAATCTGTCATTCATGTGCCTCTGGTTCACTCTCATCAAGGTCAATGTTAAGGTTTCCTAATCGCGAATTTAATAAATTTATCCATTCATCCCAGCCACGAACATGTGTATGCATTCTGACCACAGTGTCAGACTTCCAGCTAGAGGGCCGTGCATAAAGCGTGGGATCTGAAAGTTTTAGCCTGGTGCGACCTACATATACAGGGTGGTTTAAATGCCAGGTCACAATGGAAAATTTTTCAATGGGAAAAATTCACAAATCTCTATTAGTTACTGAAATTTTGCCTCTGAAATTCAATATTTTAAGAATTTTGTCATCAGTGTTCCATGAGTTTTTATAAAAATTAATAAAAATCTCAATCCCCAATGCGTAACTAATGGAAATTTACGAATTTTTCCCATTGAAAAATTTTCCATTGTAGCCTGAATTTTAAACCACCCTGTATATGTGTTGCATGTTAAAATTTTTCATTGAAGTCATTGTGCAAAGTGTATTCGCAGAGTTATGTAGAAAAATGTATCACAAAAGTAAAAGAAAAACTGACTACGCAGGAGTCGCACAGATTGGGTGCCTAACTTAACAAAAATCGTAGAAATATCGCAGAAATATCGTAAAAAATGTGTTAAATGGTAAAATTTCGATCGAAACAAAAGTATGCCAGGACCATTTCGAGTCGATCACATGCTTTTTGCATGTGATCGATTTTCATAGTGCGATCCATTTTCATAGTGCGATTTTCGTAGGTACGTACATACATTTGTATCATTAAATTACATGGTCAATAGGCAGAAACGTGGGTTTAACCTCACTGTGACAGTATTTAGTTCCAACAAATCTCCCCTGTACATACTGCTTTCGTAACTACATCTAGTGGGAAAAAATTATTCCTATAAAAGACCAGTATTTATTTAAACCTGTTTCAAAGTTTTGGATTTTTTTACGATAAGTGCAAAAAACAGGTTACAGTATTTGTAGATAGTTAACAAATTTTGGTGTCAGTCATATTTTTTTATAAACTTTATGACGCATTTGGTCTCTTAAGGATCAATTTTTAAATACGTCAGAAATATAACGAATTTGGCAACAACGGGGGTAAATACATAAAGGGTTCGTCCATATATTACGTCATCAAAAACTCCCGATTTTATCACCCACCCACCCAGCGTATATAAACATTAAGAGATAGGGAATTTTAACATGAGAAAGATAGCAAGACCTAAACCACCCACCCACTAAAAATGCTGACGTAATATATCAAAGTTCCCTCTTACACATGGAATTCATATTCATGCTGAGACTTTTACACGAACGAAATAAATGCAAACGTTGAAAAAAAGTAATTCATCATGCCGATTGATAACGAGTCAATAAAGCTTGGATCTTAAAGTGGAGATCTGCATTCGTACATATGTACATATTTCATGCGCCGCGGAGAGTGAGGGAGCATACGTATGGAAGAATTAAAATTAAAAGTTAATAATTTACTGAGGTGTTGTCACTATTTAAATTTATCCGTAATATTTTCATCACGCCCCACACTGGTCCGGAATACCGAATTTGTTGGCCAAAACCTATTCTCACGGATTCGAAAACAAATTACCCTCTTCTGTACCTTTGATATAGATGTTCAATTTTGGAAAGTTTCATTTGAATGTTTCAACTGGTTAGGGGGTGGCTTATACTTAAACTTGGTCTTTAACATTGGGGTAAATGGGAAAATCTTCAAGTTGAAAATCCTGTCTAGTCCTGTGCGATTTCGAGAAACTATTAATGCATTCTTAAACCCTTATATGTCATCTACAAAAATCCTTGCCCCTTTTTGCCCCTTTTGAAAATAGACAAAGATATGTGAATTTATGCAAAAACAAATTGGCATATGCGAAATGTCTATCTTTCTGCAATCATGACGTTATGTAAAATTTCTATGTGCTCCAAATAACATAATAAGTAATTTAGAGATATCCCATTCACTCCCTTGGGCAAGGGAAGACGGTAAATTAATCCCCAATATATTTATAAAGAGGTAAACTGGTCCGAATCACTTGGTCTGGGTGCAAAAATCTATAATTCTAGAATAATTCAATTTTTTCGAGTTCTGCTTCTGGTGATTATCGTATGAGGTTCCATCGGTGTATAGAATATGCAAGTTTCATAGAAAGCCACGCCCTTTGGTGACTGTGGTCAAAGGCTAGCAGAGACTGGTCAATCCCGGATTAAGGAGTGGGGATTGAGATTGGGATTGGGGATTAATTAATCCTTAATCTCAATCCTTAATCTCGAGTTTTTGAATTTTAATCCTTAATCCCTAATCCCCAATCCAAATCTGTCAACTTTAATCCAAAAGTGGGATTAAAATGGGATTAAAGTGGGATTAAATTTGCATTCACTAAAAACTCAAAAAGCAAACTTCTCTTGAGATCGCTCCCCTTTCGAAAATTGATTGCATTTCGTTCATTTTTATCAAACATTTAAAAATACTCCAAAATATTTTGCAAAACTACTCGTATCGTGGTATCCTCAATGTGCAATGTTCAAATTTTGTGTGAGCTTATAAAGAAATGTGAGTACTCTGACCAAACTATGATCGATGCTGTTCGTTAAAATAGTACCAAGAATAAAATTAGAATTCTTCCCCTATATAATTTTTAGCACAAAAAATATTTAATTATGACTTAGAAATTGTATTCGTAAGCCATCTAATTTTGTATGCAAAATGATCAAAATATTCCATTTTCAGAAGTTCAGAGATTTGTTTAATTAATTTAAAAATCTGGCATAATAATGCAAACAATTAATCCACGACTATGTAAATTAATTTCCAAACCAGGTAAATCCTAAATTTAATCCCGTGTTAATCCCAATCCCAGATTAAATTTAATCCCGTGTCAATCCTAATCCAAGATTAAATTCAATCCCTAATCCCAATCCTTAATCCCAAAATTTGGAAAATTAATCCTTAATCCCCAATCTCAATCCCAAGATTTTAAATTTAATCCTCAATCTCAATCCTTAATCCCAATATCTTTAATCCGCCAGTCTCTGAAGGCTAGTAATATTTTATTGCGTTACACCATCAAGTGGGGTATCATTTGAAAGATCTCGTCAATCCTAATAACCGTGAGATAGTGTGGGCACACCCAACTTCGACATATGTCGTCCTCACAGTGGGATACATATGTGTGGAAGATCCTCCTTCCAAATATGGAAAACTTAGGGATTGGCTGGTCTGTTTTTTGCCTGCACACTGAAAAATGTAATGCTAAAGGCTATGATATGCAATAGATTGAAATAATCGAGATCGGTTTGTGTCATCATACATATAACCCCAAGGGGAGGATTCTACCAAGTCTTATGGTCAATTGGACCACCCCCACT